TGACACACCTGAAGGAGCTGGGTTTGCATTCTCCATGAAGTGAAGTAAATTGCATTGCATCGGAAACTGGAAATGCATTCTCTCAGTAGTTTTACTCTGGTCCTGGAGCACAGGAGAGTAATGTTTTCAAAAATGTCTAGGGCCAGATTCAAGGAAAAGTGGTAATAATAATGAAACAGTAAAGCTTTCCAGAAGCACTTGGGTATCTGTAGCTCCACTGACTGCAAAGGAGATCAGACACCTTCAGGTTTTACAAAACCTCAGATTGCGCCTATCTACATCTTTAGATGATTTGGGAGCCAAAATCTTGGTGAAAATCAATCATGGCTATTGAGAAACCAGGACAAAGTGTTGTTTTGGTCATTTTACCCCTGGTGCCATTTGGTGTACAATTTAGGATTTCGTTCTCTGCTAAAGCCCGTTGATGTAACGCTACCTCACTCCAGTGAAGAATGCAGCTCTCGGAGTTTCTCTGCCTCTTTTCCAAAGGTAGACAGTAATTCAGTCAAACACTGGGAGCTGATACACCTCCTTTGGGATTCCCTTCTCCCGTTAAGGTAAGAGAGGAGCCAGAATATGGACCTCAACTGAATTGCCAGAGAGAAGAGAAGAGAAGAGAAGAGAACACAGACTCAGGACAGCTCTCTAGTCCTACACAGCACGCCTCCTTGCTCCCACATCAGGCGTTTCAGCTGTAACACCCTATGATCTTGGCAGAACTACTGCTGGTTTTGCCAGGAGAAGAACAGAATCAGACTGCTTTCAGAAACAGCTGTGGGGTGACACAGTAAAGCTGTTCAAGACCTGTGCTTGAATGTTTAAATGCAGGCAAAATCTGCATCAAAATGCAGCAGGACATCCAATTGCTTGCAGAATGCAAGCACACCTGGCAGATTGCACCTCCCTGCAGACGCTGGTGAAATCTGCTTGTGGCATTAGCTCTGGCCTGCAAGAGCGTCTTGCTGCAAAAGGCATATTCCAAAGGAACCCGATGTGAAGCCCAGTGACCTTTACAACTCACATCCATCTATGTGAAACTCGCCACTGAATGCTTGCTGACCTACTGGGATTCCCCTAGCCCCACCTGTCTTGGAGAAACGCTAATTTGGCAATACTGATACAGTGAGGAAAATGGAAAGTTAAGAGATTTGACGACTTCTCACCCCAAAATGGCTTAGTGAGGAAAGCAAACAAGCAAAACCAAACCACCTCATGTCTGGCCACTCAGAGAGTTTGTAACATAGTGCAATTACCACTCCGTTTTGGCATGATTCAGTCAAAGTAGAGACAATTGGATTGAAAAGCTGACTTTTTTTTTTTTTGGAAAACAAATTGGTCTAAATTCTGTAGAAAAAAAGAGAACTTCTCTGACGGAGTAGAAGCAGTTCTGACAAAGCTGCCATTGTCAGCCAGGCACAAAAATGTTTCAAAAAGTGACTCCTAATCATTTTATACAAATCCAAATTATGTACTTCTCACCAATAGTCAGAGTAGGGTCAGTAAGGACAAGTTGTTTTGAAACTCCAGAAATAATCTGTTGATGGCACTAGCCCTCAGCCAAACTGCTGGTTCCTGAACATAACTTTGTAAACTCCTACTGATTAATACCTCCTTAGCGGATCAGACTAGGAACAATAAATTTGACATGAAAATAGATGCTTGCCAACATTTTAGGTTTACCAGCAAGTATACAAAGGAGCTGTTGAAGTCTTAGATAGATTATATATATATATATATATATGTACGTAAAAAGATAACCTGCCTAATTAAGTATTTATGCAAAACGACTGTTTTCTAAGGTGAGTAATACTAGTGGTAATTATATACTTAGCCACCAAGAGCCCACATTAATGAATGGTACTTGCTGTTCAGCAGATACTGATCTCATTTGCACTGACACACTGCAATCAGTGAAGTTGCTCTGGAACTAAGTGTCGTGACTGTGGACAGAATCTGGCCACCTGCACGCAACCACATCGCTTTCTCTGGAGAACAGAGATGGCTGAGCCATGTTTGAGTGTATTTTCTGCCACTAAATCTGGCTTTTCAATGTTGCTTTTTGATAAATTTTAAACCACTCTCAAGCTGGTACAACTATGCATTAACGAGGTGGTGGCAAACTGATACTGTAGTATTTTATATTTCAAATGGCTCTTCCCAAAGTCCATAAAAAGATGAAGAACCACGTTTTCTTGTGCAGGGGTTGTGAGGTTCACTGCCTACGGACTCTGGCTGTAGGGAGTGTGAATCTGGGAAGAAGCCAAGTGTCCCAGTCCAGTCACACAAGGGAAAAGCTACAGCTCATTTATCTCTGTGCTACTTGGCCAAGGGACCAGTCCTTCCTGTTTTCCCCAACTTTATCTGAAGGGCTGTAGGCACCCAACAAAAGTTAGTATCCACGTACTCCTAATTTAACTAGCGCTGGGAATCAACCCTGTGCACATCAGCCCCAGCAGCCTGAGGGGAGCGCAGAGCTGTTCCTTGCACCATCCTTGGCTCTCTCCTTCCTTCTCTGCATAGCTGGCAGCTGTGCTGGGCTCCAGCAGCTGTCAGGCGGCTCCTGGATCCCAGGACACACTGGTCGAGACGGGAGGAGAGGCACCATTTTGCTGTGTGTGGCCCTGTTCTTCACATGACCAAGTGCTTGCGGAGCACAGGAACAGGTCCAGCCCAGCCTGCCCTTCAGTCCCTCCACTTCCTAACTGAACACACACCACGAGCATCTGCACATACTCTTTTTAGTTCACTCCACTGAGGGGGAAGTGAAACCCTTCTCTAACTCACTCTTCATAAACTAGACCTGTCTTGGTGAAACTGCTGCCTGAAACAGTTGTTAGGGATAACTATAAACCTAAATTATTTTGAAGAAACAGACCATTTTGTTCTATTAAGTGGTTGGTTCCCAGGATTTCCTTCTTGCTTCTAGGATATTTCTAAGTATAGAATTTTTCATGCCAAACTCATGAATCCAGCTGAGAGACACTCTCTTATTTATTTCGCAGCTTCCCTCTGCTGTAGGGATCTCCAATCTAAGAGTCATCATTACCAGGAGAGTAGCATTATACCTGAATCACACTCTCTGTAACACTTCATTTTTCTCTGGGCACCTCAGTAAGGCTCTTTACTAACTTCATTTTCTCATGGCAAATTAGCAAAGCTATTTTCTTGTCTACTTATTCCTGAATCAAATCAGAGAGTTTTCCTCAATTAACCTCCCATTATTCTCTTGATTCTGTCATACACACTCACTACTAAATTTGCCCTCAGATTATTGCGTCATGTTACACATGTACAGACGAAGAAAGGACACACTTTTTCTTTTTTCTTTTTTTTTTTTTTTTTTTTTTTTTTTTTTTTTTTTTTTTTAAACAGAAGTAGGGAGAGGGGGGCTGAATGTGCAGACAAGGCAGTATAATTCAACCATCCAAGCCCTACCAGAGCATGAAGATTTTATTTTTTAATATTGCAGAGTAAGTTCCCCAACAGTCAGTGTTTGTCCCTGAAGAAGGTTAAACCTTAAACACCTGCTTCAAAAAAACCCCAACAACAACAAAAAAGAACCAAAACAAAAACAAAAACAAAACAAACAAAAAAATAAAACCCCAAAAAACAAACTCTAAGCCTAAGGGCTTAAAAATTAGAGGCATAGCCTTTTTCTCTATTTTCTATATTTATATGAAAATAATTCATGCTTCATGCTAAATACATTATTTACCTTACAAGAACTTTGTCATCTTTGAATAAAAAAAAAATTGTTTGCTTTTTGTATTCTGCCCCTCCCCCAAAAGGAATCCATGCAATGTGGATCAAATTTCTTCTGCTGGCTACGCGGGTTGAATCTGGAAATATGTTGTCATTTTTGCACAGATGAATCCTGACTGACGGTAACTGCACACCCATTTCTGAGGGCAGCGTAGGAGCTCTTTTGTTGAACTTCGGAATTTTATTGTTCACCAATATGCTTTCCTTTTAAATACAGAATACTACTATTGGCAGGTTTTGTAGCTTTTTTTCCCCAGTTAGATCAAGGATTTGATCTGCAGAAAAGATCCTGATGTATTTCCTTCCTTAATTATCTATTGTAATTTCTTAGACTTGATTGCTTTTCACTCAGGCAGTTTAGAAGACATAGCTTGTTTTTCCCTATTACTATTACTTTTTGCACACAGTGCCAATCTTCGGGCTTATGGCTTTTTGAACATTCTTTTAATTTAATATAGAAGACAGAATTCAATGATTAACGATGCTACTAACAGTGACCCCCCCCTCCCATTTCTTCTCCTTATTTCACTGTAACCCATTGCATACATAGTTCAAATTTTCCCAAACTTCAAGTTATCAGTCTTCACATTATGAGCCACATCTAGTACGTGAAGCACTAAAAGTGCATTACGGTTTGCGCAGTTGCCACCAGTGGCTGTCCAAAGACTTCTATGGCACAACGTATCCACGTGCCACTAGATGGTTCTTGGTTTGGTGTTGAGAAGTACATGCCTCCTCTTTCCCCCAAATCTCTTTATTCACATTCACTTCTAACCCAATCGTAAGGCCATTAAAAAAAATTCTTAAGGGCCAGGCCTGAATGATTACTAAATTATGCACAGCTCTTCTAGTATAAGCGGGATTTCGAAGTGCCCAATTTTACTCCCATCACATTAACGTTGATGTCACTGTGTACTCAACCATGCATTTTTGACAAGCCGGAGAAAGCAATGGTGATTTTGGCTTTTTTTTTTTTTGTGTTAACTTTTTGTCTTCAGGTAATGAAAAGCTTTTGTAAATTAGCTGAGTGTCAGTATGAGTTCTATGGCTTCAATCTCCTTTAAAAATAAAAATCTTAAGGGTCCAAAAAAAAAAAAAAAGAAAAAGAAAGAAAGAAACAAAAACAAACAGAAAGAAAAACAAAAAGGAAAAAATTGCTGATATTGCCACAAATCATTAGAATTCACCTGACGTGCTGAAACAAAACTTTGTAAGTTCAAACAAATCATTGATTTGTTCTAATTTTTTGTGGTTTCCTTTTGCTCTTTCTGCCCCTTTGCCGTCCGATTGGTGATGTTGTTCAAACAGGATCGAATTCCTGCTAAATGCAGGAGCGATCCTGCTGCTTCTTTCATCTCCTCATCGTCACTCTCAGGGGGCTTTTCCGTACGTCTCTTTTTAAGAGGCAGTGTGTCACTTGGTACTTTTTTCACCTTCATTAAATGTTGCCTTTTCTTGTGCTGGGATGCATACCCACTGTCAGCTAAAGAATCCTTGGTCTCCTTCCGATTTTGCTTTTTGTCCTCCTCTTCTGTTTCACTATGGCTCTCGTGGCTCTGGAAGCTAACTTCGCTTCCTTCACTGCTGTCTTGGCTACCTTTAGTTGCAAATTCATACTGGTCATCAGCAGAGGAAGAGGAAATGGAGTCACTAGCAGGTGACGTGCTCCTGTGGTTGGAAGATTTGGCACTGCTGTAGTTGTGATCCTCCTTTGGGTCACCGCTAACAACTGGAGAGCCACAGGACTGTTCGCTTTCTGTCCGCATCCGGCAGTTTGTTATTCCATTCCTGTAAAAACAAATTGAAGCAGTCTTAGAAGGCACAGAGATGTGATACTGCTTCAGTGCAAAAGATGGTAAAGCCAACCAACAGATAATCTGAAATTATGACTATCAAAGTAATGTCCATGCAAGCTGGTTTCAAAGCCTGACTCAAGTCGCTTGTGGATTGTACTCAACACGTAAAAAAGAAGTCAACATAACAGCACAAGAGGCAGGAGCAAGTAGGGGATGGTTACAAATAAACGATGTCTGAACAGTCCTGATTTATGTTTCAACTAATAGTTTACACTTCCAAAAAAAACTAAAGAGAAAAAAACCCCATTATTTTATGTACTGGATATTAAATAAACTCTGATGAGTTGCAATAATATCCTCTCCCCTTTCCTATATAAAACAATACTATCAAAAACGTGGGGAATACTAGCTTTCTGGAGTACTTCTTCACCTCCTCTCAAAGACTCTTTTTCCAGCTTTAGCATTCCAAGGGTAGGAGATGTTTCACCTGGAAGTAGCACAGCTTCCATTCAGGACTCCTTCCAACAGAAGGAGCAACTGAGTATAAAACCCAGGTCCAGTTACATTTCTGATCATGATCAGTTTATGAATAATCTTTAAAGCAATACAATCTGAAGCCACTAGCTGCCAACAAAATACTACAATGTGTTTAAAAACAAACAGTAGAAAAAACCCCATCTGGTTTTGCTCTAGAAGTTGTAATTTTCCCCTTTGGTTTTATGGTACTCGGTGCTGTGGGAACTACTACAACACAATAAATTTAAAAACTAACTCTTCCTTTCTGTGCTGGAAAGTATTAAAGCACCGCCACTAACTTTACAATACAGATTACAATGCTTGCAAGTCTGTTAAAAAGCGGACTGACCCTGTGCAGTGCTTAATTCCTGTTAAAGAGCAGAGGAGGATGCTCATCATTGAGTAAAGGCATCGTCATTGCCACCTGCCAGTTCATGAGCCTTGAACCCCTCTATCAGTTAAAAAAAAACGCAACAAACAAGCAAGACTGTTTAAACTATCACATGATAAACTGCTTTAAAAATCTACTCTTGCCATCTTCATGCTATCACTAGAGTGCTTTTGCACACTCACAGCAGTGTTGGATTAAAATCTTTCCTTAAATGCACACGTTGAACATAGATATTTCTTAAGAGGAATGGCACAGTGGGAAGTCCAGAGCATTACTGCTCTTCTACTTAAAAAATGGGAAAGTGCTTTAGGTTTCAGGGAAGAACCTCATGTCTGGGTTCTTTATAGAAGAAACAGCAGAGTATTATCCATTTCTGAAAGGTAAGGCTGAAAGGTGGAAAATAAGAGAGTAGTATATAACTCCACAGTGCCTATTCATCTAAATGCTCTTGTCTGTAGAGCTTACTGAAATAAGAAACAGGCTTTTGTGAAACAGTGACAGGACAATGCTAGAAGGTAGCAAATTAATCAGTCATTCCAAATGTTCTTATTTACAGTATTTTCACAGAAATGTATATAATAGAAGGCCCAGTTATTAGCAACAAAGGCCTCTTGCCAACCTCTTTTGCTCAACAAAATTATTTTCCCCTAGATTTTCAAGTAGCTTTATGAGCCATAAATTATATACAAAACCCAGAAGGAATACACAAAGCTCCTTCAATTATTAATAAGTAAATGCAATGTCATTCATGATTGTGCAGCCAGCTGCATTTACTCTGTGATGGTTTGCCACTGCAGGGGTTGTCATTAAAGAATGCCGAATGCTTAAAAGAAGAAATCATCCATAGTGAACTAGTTGTAAGGTGAATTTATAACCAACTCCTTAAGATCAGTCATTACGAGGAAGCATGTGATGCATTTTAAATGACAGATTCTTCACTTTTAGGGTAAATTTACATTTAAAGATGTTAAAAATTATCATAAATTAGCATAAAATTAAAGTTACTTGATTTTACTAGGCAGCTAATAGTCAGAGCAATGTGGCTCAATAAAAATCATATGCTACTAATTTTCCATTAAAAAATAGCAATAAATTCTTGCTCCAAGGAAACAAACACAGGACAGAACAGGTGGGAACTCAAATGTGATTCCTCCTGACTAGGTGATTAGTGAACAAGGCTTCTAACAGATGGGATTTAAATCAAGCTACCCATTTTCATATTATTAGATCTACTCCTATTTCTTAGTTTATACTGAGAGACTATTAATAAAAGGAAAGCTACAGTTCCATGGAGCAGAGCAACCATGTGCCAAAAAGACATCCCTGATTTGCCCTGCTCTTGAGCCTCTAGTGTTTGCTTTTACAGAAAGGGGCTATAATTTGGATTCAAAAGCTTTGCCCATGGGACTCGCTTCAGATCCCAGTCCTTTCAAAAATGCATAAAACCAGAAAGGCAGGTCTGGGGATTACAGAAGCAATGCCCCAGAGGAAGATGTACTGCTATGGGGTTAGCATCCCACAGGGAGTGACTGTAAATAGGGATGATGACAAAGAAAACCAGAAGTCCACAGAAAGGTGCTAGAAAGAAATCACTTAAAAAAAAAAAAAAAAAAAAAAAGGGACGAAAGGAAATACCAATACACTTCAGAAGAAAGGCATCTATGGTGGAACTGGTCAGGAAATGAACAGCATTTTGCATCTCAGAAAAATCTTTGGTTTTCACTTACATTTTGAAAGTTTTCCAACCAGTTCTGCTTGGGGAAATAAAAAAGGAAGAGAAAGCAGGTCAAGGAGAGAATTAGCAAAGGATATCTGCAGAAATGAAACTGAGTTATACAGGCAGAGTGTTTTTGGATGTTCACAAGATCTAAAGTCAGGTACCCTAAAAGTAAATTAATCTGATTTGTATTTTGATATACAATAGCTCAAACATAAGATATAAAGAATTACTCATAATTGATATTAGTAGCTTAATAAGAGTTGAATAAACTAATATCTAAACCACTCATATTCCGCAGATGCTTCTGAGACATTCTAAAGCTTTATCTTGCTCTTATACAGTCACATACTCGCTAAGAAATGAATCTGTGATCTACTTAGTTCCACGTAGATCATCAGTGGACAGAACTCCCCCGGGTTTCAGGGGACAGATTTTGGCCAGTTGAATCTATTTTTGCTCACAGTTCTGGTTGTAACTCTTATGTTGTTACTGAAACAATAACAGATTTTTAAAACAAGCGCTTGGTCTGATGTTTGGACTATTTTTAAATTACAGAGTGAAAGAAAAGTTATTTAAGAATTCTGTGCTTATTGAAACAGTGAGGGGAATTTTGTTTCAAGTAATACCTTATTTTTTTCCCCATTTTATTGTTCAGAACTTTATTTCAAAATTTCCAGGAACTGACACATTTTCACATGTTTTAAAGCAGTGGCTTGCCCTTTCAGGGAAGTCCATGGGACAGTCTCTAGAGCTTTTCATCCCACTGACATGGACTATCTTATTTGCTTGAGGGATCTTAACCATAGTTACACAGATAAAAGTACCATGCACAGATTCTTCTTAAAAGTATTCCAATTTGCTGTAGTACAATGCCACAACCCTCAAACACTGCAGAGCTAAGTTGGACTTTTGAAAGCCCGACCCAGTTCTCATTGTTAATGGAGTTCTGCTACTAATGTCATCAGAAGCCAGATGGGACTCACAGCAGCTGGATCTCAAGTCAGTAAGGAAATAAAGTCCTTCGCACAGTATTAGTGCCTCTGCCTTTCAAAGGGGTCTTCCTCAGGATGAGATGAAAGTAAACCTCAGTCATTTTACCAAGGGCAGATACATCTTCCTCAAATTTCTCTACTGGCTTTAAAAAAATATAGGCAATCACATTCTGTTTGCAAAATGGCAAAAAGTTTTGCTGAAAAATACTTACTGTATTCCACACCAGAGACAGGTATTCATTTGATGAACAAAGCAAACCTATGTGGAGTTTAAATATCACCTTATCTATCTCTGATCCCTCTGGATGACAGATATTGTATACCCACAGGTGACAGTTCTGGTATGTAATTGGAAACACCCAGTTAAAAGATACGAAAAAAGCAGTACAGATAAGTTTGGTTTGTGGATTTTGACAGGTTCCAGGTTTCCTAAAAAAATAACACTCTTCTTTACTGTACAGGTAACATAACTTCAAAGGGAAATGCAGGACAGTCGGAACTTTTAGCTACAGTTCATTGAACCATTACTTAAAACCACTCCATAGCAGCAAGACAGGAGGATGAGCAAGCATATGAAAAATAAGTGGTGCTCACTTGCTCTATGACGGGACTGTATCAGGGGTTACCGAGTTAAAAGTCAACAACAAGTTGGTCACACTACTGATAGAGGCTCTTACAAAGGTACTTCACAGCATAATTGTATGCAAAGGACCACAGTAAATGTGACTCACGACTGCCAGCAGAAAGAGCACTTTGTCAGTATCAACAGCAGATGTGAAGTTAAGACAACTGCAGCCCTCTGCATTTTGAAAAACAGAATAATCAAGTCAGGCAGGTTTTTTTTCATTTAGTGACTAAAGGATTCCTTCAGCTCCCAAGGGTAACGCACCCTGTCTGCTACAGGTGGGTAGAAGGGGAACGCAATGCAACAAGGATGATTTCGGGGTTAAGCTGGTCATGCCAGTAATAAGCAATAACATTAAGAATATACAACTAAGAATTTATAAAAGGAAGTACCCAACGGTTCCTTTACCTGAGCAAAAACAATCATTCACAGATAATCTAAGTATATCATTTTACTTATGCTTTAGCATCTACACTGCTCATGTTACTTATGTTTGATTTATGTAATCACTGCTTGAATGGGTGCTTCGAGGGAGGAAAAAATAAGCAAAAATAAAGCCAGCATGAGAAATAAAGTCACCATAATGAAAGCTAGGCCCGAGGAACAATCTAGCAATTGCCCTATAAACTTAAAGTGAAAATAATAATAAATAACAATCTTCCATCTTTGGATAGGCACAAAGCTCATTCCTGTCACACCCCAATGATCACGAGCTGCACAAGGAACTGTGGCATTAATAGCAGAAGAACAATATATATTCTAAAATCTCTCATGATGAAGTAGGTAGGGTTTGTTAGTGTTGCATTTTGGGTGTGTGTTTTTTTTGGGGGGTGGGGTGTGTGTGTGTTTGTGTTTTTTCATTGTTGTTTTTTTTTCAAAATAAAGGAAGAGCAGTAGCTCTGATAGTGTGGATGCACTTGCTTTCCCTAGGAAGAGGGAACATTTTGTCTTGAAAACATGAACGGAAAATTTTTTTACTTAGTGGAATTCCCTGGGAAGCTTGTGTCTGCAACTTAGAGAATTGTGCAATTCCTTGAGAAGCTACCAACATTTGGTGAGAAAGGAGAACTGAAAAAAGGGAAAAAAGCCCCCGTAGTTTCCCATTAATTTTTATTTTTAACCTGCAATAATTTAAAAAACCAAAGTATTTCTAACAAACACTAACAAAAGTAATTTAACTTATTACCTAGACATAAATGACATTTAAAGAAATTTTGCCTAAGTTTTCAACTAGCCTGAAACAATAGCTTGGATTCATTCTGGGGAAATATGAGCTGAAAAAGGCAGTTAAGTAATGAAACGTACACTATCCTCCATCCTGACATTTCTGACTCATCGACAAACAAAGAGAACGGCAAATCCAGTCAAAGCATCTTTACTGGGACTGGCTCTGCTTAGCTCTTCCCAAATCCTAAAGGTTTTACCCACTCCTTAAGGTTTCCCACCAAGGTGGCTGCAAACTCTTCTTCCCTCTTTTTCACCTCCATCTCATGCGCATTTGCTGACTAGGTTACGAGATGGGGTTTTCATTTGGCCTTCCCATCAGAACAGACCACTGAACAGGCCATTAAGCCCTGTTGGCCAGGACGAACAGCACCTTAATCTGGGCAAAAAAAATGGGGAAGCATGGCCTACACAGTTCAAAATGCACTGAGGGCCAAAGCTCCATAAACCCTGGATTTCCTGGGAGCCCATCTGAATGCTGTTCAGCAGCCTCCACAGCAGTGACATCTGGGGCACAGGAAAAGAAAAAAAAGGCCCAAAACATAAAAATTACCAAGGATATTTTGTAAGACATCTTTTGCAGAATAACTTGGCCCAACTTACAAGGCCTATGCAACACAGCTGGTGAGATTCTCTGTGGAGTGAAGTTGCACCAACCTCACCTTAGTGGATTTGCCCACATCAGGCAGATGAGGCTAAGGCTCAGTAGGCCTACTGCACTGTGGCAGGACGTGGACATAGACACAAACCTCTCATGCACTATGGATAACGGAAGAAAATTACAAACAACATGGTAGAGGCTGTCTGCTGAATGTACTGAAATCATAGTTCAAATGGCTCTCATATCAGCTTCCAAGCTTGTGCTCTTCCAAAAGGCTGGTGTAACTGGTAACACCTTACTCACGTGGAAGGTGATTATATATGATAGAATTTCATGCACCTTGCCAAGATGCACGTTGGCAGATGCACTGGCCACTTTGATAGATACTATGCCTACTGAAGTGGACACAGTAATCCTCCTAAGTAAAAATTTAAAAGGTATTTTTCAACAGATGTACATGGTAAGAGCAAGAGCTCACCTTCAAAGCACAACCAACTCCTTCCTTCATGTAAGGCACTACTGGCTTTCCTTGCTTTCATTTAGTACCTCTGTAAGTTGGTATTTTGTTTTCTACATATCCAGGCTATCACTACATTTGCTTTTAGATTCTCTCAGGGAACTGTATGGGGATATGGTCTGCCAAAAATATATATGATGGATCTCATGTTAGAGGCATGCTACACGCTGTGCAGCTTTGAAGCTTTATTTTCCCCTGCTGTCTTTGGGTGGGTCTTAGACTTGTCAGCCACAACATGGAAAATATGGATGGTAAACAAGCTAAAAGTGGTGTGAATAAAGTAAATAAAAAGCTACTGTCAAAACACATCCAATTATGCTCTGCTGTGGAGATTTAACACCAGAGGATGATTTTCAAAGTAAAAATAGTGTGGGATGCCTTTTCCATTTGTAGATTAGTTTGGAACGAAAGACCTATTTGTGCAATTTAAGCCAAATGCACTAATGATGCTCTCCTCAACTGCTCTTCTTTATTCATGGCAAGTGGTGGATTTGTTGTGTTTGTTAAATACTTTTCAGTAGGGTGTTTTTAATCCAAACTACTTAATTCAATCATACTTTATTTTATATATAAAAAATAAAGTAATTACATGTAATTACATGGGAACAGCAACACATCAATACCACGTGCAGGAATAAAATACGATAATACATTCAGTCACACTGTTGAAGAACAGCACAGTAAACCTTCCAACTGATGAGAGCTAACGCATCAGAAATCACAGATTTCAGCACCTTAGTCCAGTGCTACGGCTTTGGCCTTATTTCTGAATAACAGTTTCATCAAAACAGTCCACCTAATTACAACTGCAAATTTAATCCAAGACCAAACTTTTTGACACTAATGGCAGTCTGTGCAACAGGACAACATACTGCAAGTTACTTGCATGCAGCTTGGGGGACAACAAAACCAAAGACCATTAATATATTGAGGAAATAAACACGAAACGAAATAACTCAGACAGCAAGGAAATGCCAACAGAAGACCAGCACCTTACAGAAGAACCCTTAACTCCTACAGATGGTACCTAGAGAAAAGCAGTTAAGAGGTTTAATTTATTATGCAAGGATCCACTACCAAGAAAATACTAGAGGGTCCCCTGTATGCATGATGAAAACCAGCTTTTTTCAGGTGGTTTTAGGCCTTTCATTTAGGGCACCAAAGGAACTCTTCTCAAGGAAATACACATTTTAGTAAGAACTTCTTGGACAGAAGCTGTCTGGCTTCTCAATATATAGGAAGAGACACATAATTTCTGCAGATAACAGGAGACTGCACCACCTCCCATGGCTGCCCAGCAGACCTCCCTCCTGGTGAAAGCTGGAAGGGGAAATCAACCTTCCTGCTCCTGAACAGGTCTAAAAACATCCCCTGCCAGCCTGACTGAAGCATCTCGCTCTATGCAGGAAGGACAGCTCTGTGTGAGCAGTACTCCTGCACTTAACTGCGACAGAAGGCTGCATGGATGCTGTGGTAAATTCCCATTGCTGAATGATAAGCAGAAGTTATTCTCATGAGATGCCATGAAAGCTTGACATGACAGGTCCCATTTAGCCCTGTGTAGCTGAGGAAAATGGTAAGCACCAAGAAACAGGGTGTCGTTTTTACTGTAATTGGTAACAGATGTATCCAGTATTGAGAGGACCAGATGATGTTTTAAGAAGCATGGTGCATCCAGACTGACCTTCTTCCTAAAGAAATTCTGAATCTTATTAT